AAAAAAAAATGATTTTGGCTTAATATTTTTGGATTGGTTGTTTGTTTCTGTGTGGCCCAGGCTGGTCTTGAACACCCAACCCTCCAATCTCAACCATCCTAAAGCAAGACAATTTTTTTTATTTTTAATTTAAAATATTTTTTTTATTTTATGTGTATGAATGCTTTGTAAGCATGCATGTGTGTGTACCATGTGCCTTCTGGATCTCCTAGAACTGGTGTTAAAAATGTTTGTGAGCTGTGATGTGGGTTCTGGGAACCAAACTCAGGTCCTCTGTAAAAGCAGCAAGTGCTCCTAACCACTGAGCCACCTCTCTGGCCCTCAAGACACTCTTTTTAAAAAAGACCTCATATCCTTGTGATTCTGAGAGGCCTTGACACAATCTCCCAGACCAGACGTTGCCTTTTTCCCTCACTCATATGATGATTTCTTTTCTTTTCTTTTCTTTTCTTTTTTCTTTTCTTTTCTTTTCTTTTTAAGAAAAAAAGTGTTTTCACAATTGTACTAGCTTTCCATTGCCGTGACAAAGTACCCAAGGTAAGCAACTTAAAAGGAAGAGAGATTTATTTTGGCTCACATGGTCAGAAGTTTCAGTCCATGGTAAATGGACCCTGCCTGTTGCTTTGAGTCTGTGGCATCCCAGTCCACTGTAGAGAGGGCATCTGGCAGAGGAGTCCCAGTCACCTCAGGGCAGCTGAGAGGCAAAGAAGACCAGATGCTCAACATTCCTTTCAAGACAACACTTCCAATGTCCTAACTTCCTCCCACCTGACGCCACCCCTCAGATGCCCCACCACCTCCCAAGAGTGCCATAGGCTTGGGACTAAGACCAATACCTGGGCCTTTGAGATAATCTTCAGATCCAGTTTATAGAAATAATCATAATTCCATGGAGCTCATTCCCTTCAGGAATTGTCTCCCTGCCCTTCTGGAATCATCTTTCTCTCTAAGACTTTCAGGACTGCTAGGTCATGTCTATTTTCTGAAACTGAAAGGACAGCCACTCATGACATAGCCTGGCCTGCCTGTCTTTCTTCTTTTCATCCGTCCATCCATCCATCCATCCATCCATCCATTCATCCATCCGTCCATCCATCAATAGCCCTCTTCTCCCTCCTCTAATGCTTAATGTTCAAAAGGGACTCTATCCTGAGACAGAGGCAGGAAGCGGGAAGGCCCCGTAGGAAGAAATAGGTTTTCAAAGGGATGCTTTATTCGATTAATTAGTCAATTCCCCTGTCTAGAAGAGAAATTATCTCTAAACCACACTGGCGGAGGAGTCTCTTACTGCAAGAAGCAAAATGACGCTGGGCTGTTAACAATAGAAGAGCTCATTTGCAATGTAAATGAGCAACCAGCAGGCAAATGAACCCTTCTGGGAAAACCACTCTAATCATCAACCTGCTTGCCCTGGGGAGACAGCCGTGTGGACAAGCAGAATCCTGGCTCCTAGAACTCCCTCTAACAGGGCCTGCAAGGGGAGGATCCAGGTAAATTTTCCACAAAATTGCATTTGAATGGAGCAAATGCATTGCTTGGCAGTGGCTGGTGTCTTTAAAAGTCCACTCCGTGACTGCAGACTGACTTATTTACGAGTCTCACTGTGTAGCCACCACGATAGTTAGGATGTAAAACAGTCAACCATTCCCCTCTGTGTTTTATTTGTAGGAAAACGCGTCATTCAAGTATCTTAGTGATGGAATGTGACTCGCCGGCGATGGCAGTTAGGAAGTTTTAAGCCCTGCCAAGCACAGGAGCACCCAGAAGGGACATATGTTTTCTCTGATTCGTGTTCCAAATTTGCCTTAAAAACGTGCAATTACAGGAAAGCCTGATTTATATTTTCAAGAAACAGCACAATAATGGCGCTGTTTGGTTGCAGTGTTTTTCTAAAAACGTATGTTTATTGCTGCTCCCCCGCCCCCGCCCCCAAAGAACTCGGCTAACAATCCCTTGCGATTCCACTTTCCTGGGTCCTAGATGAAGATTTGATGAGGTCTCTGAGAGCTAAAGATGGCTTCCTTAAGGGCAACGGGGATTCGGTTAACATGGCCTGGCGAGAAATTGACAAGTCTTCTCTAGTTAGCCGCACTCTGTCCCCTCCTTTCATGGAAGGTGGAGAAGCAGGCAGGTAGGTTTGTGTGCCGCGCCTAGTCAGGAGGCAGAGGTTCAGAAACCCCAGCAGGGTACGACGCACACCCTGCCCGGCACCAAAAAAGGCTGCCAGTGTATCCTGCTTGGATACTGGAGGTGGCCGGGGGGTGGAGGGGGGGTGGGGGGGTGAGGTTATGTTTGCAGGCTCTGGCTCTGGGGAGTAGCTGGGAAGGGTCACGTCGTATTCATAAATGAAAATTACCGTGGAGTCCTTTATAAATTATACAACCACACTGGCTTGCGTATCCTGCCCTTTGTTACTGTTATTAATGAAGGCTTTCACTCCACTATCTCAGCAGTATTCCCAGTACATTCATAGAGCAAATAGAAGTTTGTGTCTTTCCGGACTGGGGAGCCCTCAATACTGGGCAATATTTTGTTGCTAGTGTTAAATGTTTTATTCCAGAGTGGAGGTCCAGGAATGTGAAAGACCAATTCTCCACCTATTTTATAACAAGGTAAAATTTTAGGAACATTAAAACAGAGAAAAAGTTTCTCCAGGTGATAGAAAGATGGAGGCCCACGTGGGCACTCTGGGCTTTTCCTTCTGAAACAGGGTCTATTTGTGTTGCTGAGTGTGGCTTTGAACTCTTGGGCTCAAATGATCCTCCTACCTTAGTCAGTTGAAAAGCTGGGATTATAGGTATGCACCAACATGCCCAGCCATTTCAAAATATATATATAATCTATCTACCTGTCATCTATTTATCTATCATCTATCTATTCATCTATCGTCTATTTATCTATCATCTATCTATCTTATCTATCAATCATCTATCATCTATCAATCTTATCTATTTATCTATTGTCTATCTATCTATCTATCTATCTATCTATCTATCTATCTATCTATCTATCTATCTATCTATCTATCTATCTATCTACCTTGTAGCTGGAGGGCTTCTCTCCAGGTTCCCCAAGCCCCGCAGTCCCACAATCCACTTATAAAATAATCACTCAGACGCTTATATCACTTATAAACTG